CGATAGAATTACACTGCAATATGGTGTCAGAGCATTAGATACCGATAGTAATTCCATCGCACCTAATCCTACTGACACTGCATCGCATATCTCGGGGTGATAGAACATCGGATAGGCCCATCTGATACAAATATCTTGGCAGTGCAGTCCTCAAGGCTGACACTATATCTTAACCTATATCTACTTATATCAATTATGTAATTTACATATGGGCTCTTGACACTGAGCCCTGAGTTTTAGTTTTAACTTAACATAAATATGTTTACACATATGTCATTTATCGTAACTGTTACATGTGAGTGTCTGAAAACAGGGTCCTGATATATGTATGGGTGGGTGAGTTAGTGAGGCTCTGTCCTCAACTCTTGCCCTGAATAGTGTGCTGACCTAAATATAGGTTGGGTACATGAGAAAATGGGCAATGGTGAGTGAGCTACACTCTTGATCTGTGAGGTAGAGATAGAAACTTCACACACAATCAACAAAAGTTCACATATGGAGAAATACATTTGGTCAGACTTCCTAGATTGAGATAGAGAAAGAAAAAAGGTGAAAATGGGGTGTTACTCACAGTCTCTTTTTGCAGATGGGAAAAGAGACTGGAGTTGAATTTGGTGATGTGGAGATATACCTCAAAATTTGATTTGGTTATAAGACTTATGTTAGTATGCTGTCATCTGTGCCAATGGAACTGATACACTAACATTACACTATATGTAACAAATGGAGACAGTCTGTTGGACTGCTGCACAGTCCTCAGGGGCTGACATCCTGTGACTTTCAGATTTTCTGTATAATTCCTGTGTGGACATATGCAGCTCAATTTAAGTTCAGTTCAATACAAATATTTGGCTGCCTGGTGTTTCAGGCCAAATTTTGAGGGTGGTTTGATATACCTCTGATATTTCTCTGATCTCCTGGTGTGTTCTGGCCTGCCAGTGACCAGTGGATGGAGGCTGTGTACATTTGCACAGCACCTGTACTTTTGGTTAGGTGGCTACCAGACATTTTCTATCAGATTCTATGACCTTGACTGAGTCTAGAGCAACCCTGATAACTTCCAGGTGATGCCAATAGGCAAGAAGCAACTTTTGTTCCCTTTACCTTCATAGGTAGTCCTGAGAGGGTTTAAAGAGTATCCTGAGGTGCAGGAGAGCAAAAAATATTGTGGGTTAGCTTGCCAAGTCCCAGTGTCAAAAAGTGATTTTTGTTGTGTGTTTCTGACATACAGACTCCAAAAAAAAAATGCGACCATGTAGTGAGGGTTTTGGACCAAAAGAGCCTAGGAGAACCCCTAACCTACCATAGAAACTTACTGTCAAAGGCCTACCTTGTGAAATCTTGATGATTTACTCCTGTTAGTCTGTGGAAGACCAGGAGAATGATTCTTGGCAGGATGGAATAATTATCTGATGGTGGGGATTGCTGGGATCCACCCATTGGGGGGGGGGAATGACAAACAGAGGCCCCACTATATACAATAGAAGCACTCACAAAGAGATGGAGAAAACTCAATCCCCATGCAAGAACCTGCCATCTCTGCTGTTTTAGCCAATACAAATGGTGCACACACACACACACATACACACATACACCAGAATACTATCAAAAGAAACCAGCCAAATAAAACCAAACAAAAAATCTGCCAAAGTAAACCATATCTTACAAGTTCAATGGTACTGTTCCCATGATGATACAACAACTCCTTCCTTGAATTCCCCAGTAGTCAATGCTGAACTGAAGTTTTCACCAAGTTCCCACTCAATCTAACTTCTCTTGCATCCAGCCAAATATTCCTAAAAAAAGAATCTACCTCATCAAATCACCTTCTACAACAAGTTCAACCATGTCCTTTCATGTAGCTAGTTGACCAACCCTTCACTGAGTTCCTATGTTTCCCAAGTACTATACCCACTACCAAACTACAAACCCCTCCAAACACTGCCTTCCTGTACTCCAAATGCTTCCTGAAGAAAATCTACCCAAGTAAACCAGCCCCTAAGAATTCCTTAGTGAGACCCTGCTCACTTTCCCACACTCCCTTCTACCTGAATCCCCTGTTGACAACCTACTCTGTAGCTCTTAAGAGCTTTTGCGTACCACAACAGATTAACTAACAATTAAATCAATAAAGGTCCAGCTTCAAAAAAATTTCAAAAGTGGGATGACACTCATTTCAAAATGTAATTCAAAGGCTCAGTATCAAAAAGTTGTTTGAAGGTGGTTGAAGGCCTACTCACAGGTCTTGTACCGGTTGTACGGACTATGTCATGCCATCCAAAAAAAAAAAAAACCCAGCGTGATGTCCACCATTTTTCCAACGTAATTTATACATGACCTTTATTTATTGTCTACCTAAATTATTGAACTTCAATTATAGTAAGATCTTCTCAATTGAGTAGACCAATAATTCCAAGATGAAAACTTATCCAATGGTCAATTCGTAAACCAATCGGATCGGAGCAGATATTTAAGTACCTGACTTCAAGTATTTTAACATGAAAAAAAACATTACGCTTTGTATATATATATAAAGGAGAGTAGTTTTTAAAAAGGAAGTCTATAAATATTGAGGAAATAGTTGAATGTTTCTTCCGTGCCAAAGGAAAAAAAATAAATAAATAAATAAATAAAAAAAAGAATATGCAAGAGAAAAAAGATAGAAAAAGAGAAAGCAATGCGAGACCGAAAAACAACAACAACAGAGTTACAAACAATAAAATCGGAGAAAAGGAATCAGTCACATAAGAATAAAAATAAAAGGAAATGAATAGAAGGGAATGAAATGTCAGAAGGTCTATTTGGAATTTACTCATAAGTGTAAAGGGTAAAGGTAGGTCAAGTTGAGACTCTAGATGCGATAGGAGAAGAAGGAGTCACGATCAGAGGCATTTCGTTTGGTTTATTTGAATCTGAATTAGATTGAATGATAGGAACATTTGAATCATCTAGATATAATCCATGTTGACGAATATATTTAATCACTGGATTTGGAATTAGATATTCTACAGACATCCCTTTTCTAACGAATAGTCTAACTTTGGTTGATGATACATCATTCTTAACTAATTGTGGCACCATATAAATTTGATGTTTATATAATGCTAATGGAGATCTTGAATGTAAAGTTGAAGTTGAGAATAAAGTTTGATCGATTTCAGATTCAGCTCTTTCGATGATATAACAACCGTATTTCCCCAAGATGTGATGTAACTAAATAGAAAGAATGAGTTGAATTAAAAAAAGAGGTTCTCTTTTGAACGATTTTTCAACTGAATGAAATTTTAACTTACGTCTTCTTCAGCCCAAAGACCAGGTTGACTCATAGTTTGAATTAAATCACTACCAGCCAATAAGAATATTCTAACAAGTTTACGTTGTTGATCTGTGGTATTACAAATCACACCACCATTTAATGTATTTAATTGATGATCGAAATGATCCAAGACTCTAGCCGTTGGAGCATATTCAGATTGTCTTGCTTCCCATGGATCCACCATTAACCAATCAGATGTTTCTTCTGTAGCCAATTTACACATTTCATATCGATGATTTGCTGGAGCTAAACCTGGTTTCTTGTATAAATCATTGACTAATGATAGGTATCCTCCTACTACTTCAAAATCAGTGTGATGTCTTGCATGATCTCTTGCCATTTCAAACATTCGTAAATGTAAAAAGGTGACTGGACTAAATGATCCACAGGCTACGAAGACTAATGGTGTCTTGTTTGGATCTTGTTTTGCAAAGTTTGATTAATGTCAGTACATTTTGTGTGTTTTGGATCGTTTTGGAAAGAGAGAGAGAGAGAGAGAGAGGAGGTACCTTGAAGTGGTGAGAGTCGGTGTGTTGGAAAGATGTAATCTCCGTCCATTTTCTTTCTTTTCTTTTTTTTTTTGTTGTATTCGATTGATGAAGTGTTAAGATGTTGAGATAGTCAGGGGTGATGAGAGAGAGGATGGATCAAGAAATGTGTGTGAGGGTAGACAGTGGATGAGTTGATGTGGTGGTTGTTGAGTGTCTGATTAAGTTTGACCAGGTTTTTTTTCTGGCTGTCAGTTGTGACATCAATTTGAAATGAATGTTGCCATTTCAAGTTTCTTTTTTTTTTTAAAAAAGTGAAGACTAAATATTTTAATTGGGACTCAAGTTTCAAATCAAATGGTGACTAGCCTGATCTGATCTGAACTAGAGCCATCTCTATCATCATCATGACGTCCTATACTTGGCAATTCTCACATTCCTTTACCCCACTCACAGAAAACTCAATCATGTAACTTCCATGTTTGTCTAACTTGGTCCATCACTTTATACCTGATCAGTCATCAACTCATCAGTCAGAATTCTTGAAGGAAGATCGCATTTTAGTGAGATTCAACTTGAGAAAGACAATGGACAAGCATTACATGTGGATCATCTGGAATATTGTTAAGACCATCTGCAGCGGGTACACATCTGTGGTGTAGGGGTTATCATCTGAGCTTCCCATGCTCAGGACCCGGGTTCGAGTCTCGGCAGATGTATTTTGTTCATTTTTTTTTTGACAAAAATGTGTTAGTTACATGTCTCAAACCTGCTTTTTGTGTTTTTATTTCAGACATCCTGAGCTCATTTACAATAATCATAATGGCATCCATGGTCAGACTGAACATGAAGGCGGAACAAACTGAAGCAGAACTTGTGGCCATTCATCTACTCAACTCATTGAGACTCTTCCCTGCCCTTTCAGCATTGATGCATGATAGAGCATTCAGTCTAGATCCTATTCACTTACCTCAACATCTGCTGGGACTCACTCTTTGTGATAAGTGTGGCTCTTCAGTATAAATTCTTGTGAATGGAAAGTGACAGAACCCATCAAGAGTCTTTCAGCATCCCAATTGTGGTCAGAGTCATTTGGTTGTCATCTGACTTGTTAATGATGTTAATGATCTTGAGGACTCTATCACATCCTCTCACTGCCAAGATATTTGTATCGGATGGGCCTATCCGATGTTCTATCACCCCGAGATATGCGATGCAGTGTCAGTAGGATTAGGTGCGA